TTTTCGGGGCTTTTGGCCACGTGCTTTGCCTCCCGATTTCTCGTCTTGCATCCGCTTTAGTTTTTTTTTGGTACAAACCTTGTTTTCCTTGTTTAGAAGGTGGTACAAGGGTGGGAGACTAGTATTTCTCCTGGCCGACCACTTTTCCTTTTTCCAGCTAGTTTTCTTGTCAGATAACTGGCTTTCTTGGTCTTTGGACCATCTTTTCTGGTCGGCCACCACACCACCACCTTGCATTTAGTGTGTTGACCTCTCCCACCTATGGCCGACCAGTTTTTGCTGTGGTTGACCACCTAAAGTGGTCAGCAGACCACTTAAACTAGAAGGCCGACCACTTCAAGTGGTTAGCTGCTTTTTGGCACTTTTTTGGAGATATTTTCCTCCAGCTAGCACAGGTGGAGGACGTTAGACTCATCCTCCATACACGTGAATGGAGGGATTGCCTTGGTGCTTAGCTTCTCCTAGAAGCTTTGCCTTTCCTCTTCTATAAAAGGGAAGCTCCTCCTCCCTCCTCTAGGTTCAGAAAATCTAAGGGAAGTGGATAGATATAGTGTTGTATCTATATTGCCTTGTTTGCTTCATTTTTGTGCTCAAAAGTGTAGATTTGTCTTAGTTTTGTGCACAAACACACACTTAAACACCTTGCTTGCGTTGCTGAGGCTCCTTGAGGTTGTTTTTGGTGTTCTTGGACTGGTTTAAGTTCAAAAAGCCTGCTGGAGTTGCAGTTATAAAGAGGGTCTTCAAAGGTGAGCTTTTGACCTTTAAATCCTCCTTTCTTGCTTAAGCTTTTAGCCTATCTTGCATGTTGTTTTAAGCTTAGCTCATAACTGATAAAAGTTCTGTTTTTGCATCTTAAAATGTTTGTTTAAGATCACTTTTGTGTTTGGGGTTGTTTACCCCCTCTTAGGCCTTGTTTGGCCTTCTTTTTTAGCCTTTTTTGTGAGCTTCGGGACCACCTTGTATTGGCCTTCTCACCACTGAATCCAGAAGCATTTCAGTGGTGGGGATGGTGTTTTAAGGTCCTAAGAAGGAGAAGGTCATCCCCTCTCCTTGTGTCTTCTTTACATGCCTTAATATGCCTCATGTTTGAGCACCTTTACTAAGCTTGTGTTAGCTTGTTCTTAGCATGTATTTGTGGTTATTTTACTGAGGCATACCACTGTTTTTACTTGTCTTGGTCACTCCATGCATGGTTAATACACTTGTAGTGTAAATCACACACACTAGCTTTGTATGCTTCATGAAGTAACATGTATTTCTAGCCTATGTTGTGTCCATTTCAGCATGTTCTTTGGCTTGTTTTACCATGTCATACCTCTGTTTAGGTTTGGTTTGGTTAGCCTTTGCATGCTCCTTGCACTTGTAGTGCATTTCCATGAAATAGTCTAACATGCATCATGTTGTGACATGTCATTCTAGCATACTTTTGGCTTAACTTCATGAAGCTTTTGTCCATGTTTTAACATGCTTTAGCACTGATTTTGGTTGTTTTGGCCATGCATGACTTGCTTTGTATAGCTACAGTTCAATCTAGCTTGTTAGCTTTGTACACCAAGTCCACTAGCATGCTCTACTTGGCTTAATTGAATGATTTGGCATCACTTGTTATGTGATTTCAGTCCATGTTTCATGGCCATGCACTTGCATTTATCACTCATTCAATGCGTTGAAGGGTTTCCCCCATTATGTCTTAACATGAACCGTTGCGTATGCCTTCATGCCCTTGCTTGCGAACCACCATTTCAGTGTTTATTTGGGGTTATTTTGCCATGATATAACTCTAATTTTTATTACTTAAGTCATTCCATGCTTGGTCTTAATAGATGTAGTGTAACCCACCTTATTTGCCTTGTATGAATCATGCTTCATGCCCTTTTTGCTAGCATGTTTTGGCCTGCTTCCATGCATGTTTTAGACTCATTCTAACATGTACTAGAACTGTTTTGGGTTGCCTTGATCACATGCTTCATGTTTTGCATACTTGTAGTACAAGTGCCCTTGCTTGCCTCAAGCTTTGAGCATCATTTCATGCTTCATTTGTGTTGTGTACATGATTTAGCATCATCTAACATGACATTTCAGAGCTTATAGCATGCTTATCTTCCCACTTCATTCATGCTTTGAATGTCTTTAAGTGTTGTGCATTATGGCCTTGTTATAGCCTTAGCTTGCATGCTTGCATGCCTAGGCCTTTGGGCCCTCATCTCAGCATGTTTAGGTCCTTGTTTTGACCTACTTGAACTCTGTCCATGCTTAGTTCATGCATTTGTGCCATGTGTTGCATGCCTCCTTTGTGTTGCTCTTTGCTTGTCTTAAGCTTTAGGGACCATTGCATGCCATACTTGTGTTGTTTGAATGATTTGGCATCATTCCTTGTCTGATTTTCAGTGCACTTAGTGTTGTTACACTTCCACTTTTGTCACTCATCAAGCACTCTTGAGAGTTGTGCTCTTTGGCCTCTTTGATGGCCAATGCATTATGCATGCATGCATGCCTTGCTTTACGTGCCTTCATTTCATCACCAATGGCCACTGATTTGGGCATGACTGAGGTCTGCCCCTTTTAGTTTAAGTCCATTGAACATGACATGTATATTGCATTGAGTATGCCACATTGTTCATCGCATTATGTATGCCTTGTACTTTGCATTGTGCATGCTTAGTTTACATCATTGCATTGTGCATGCTAACTGGTGTTTGCATTGTATGTGCATGTCCCTAACATTGCTAATTTGTCCTTGTAGCATTGCATTGTGCATGCACGCATTAGCATTGTTAGCATGCCATTAGCTTTGTTAAGTTAATCATGTCACATTGCATTGAGTATGCCATGTAGTTTATTCGCATTGTGTATGCCATGCTTGCTTGCATTGTGTTTGGAATAGGTGTTAGTCCAAACACGGGAAACGAGGGGCGTTTCATACTTAAAGTGATGAAACGTGCCTTAATTCCCGGTCGCCAACGCTCTTGATCATACATGATAGAGTTTTAGGCTTTATGTGTTTACTTGTGCATTCATTTTCATATTGAATTGTGCAAAAATGCGCGATTGGTGACCCGAGGGTCGAGAACCTACACTCCCTTGAGTTCATGACATGATAGGGAGGGTGGTTGTGCATGCATATCTTGCAAATACATTGCCATGCCCTTTCTTGCTCTCTGTTGTAGAAAACTAGAGTCTGGCAGCAACAACTGGTCGGCCAGCCAGAAAAAGTAGCTGGCCGACCACTTTTCTTGGTTTTCAACAACAAAAAGTGGTCGGCAAGGGTCTGGAGAGACCAAAAGTGGTCGGCCACCCTCCCATTGGATTCCCAAGGTGGATTTTCATCTTTTTGGAGCTTGGTGCAAGTTTCTGAAAACAAATGAAAACAGAGGTAAATCGGAGCATCGCATTGGATTTCCGAACGAGGGGACCGGACATGCATGCATTTCTCTACCTCTGAAGCTCTTGATTTATTGCTTTTCTTAGCTTCCATGCTTAGATAGCTAGGTGTTGCTTTGGTCTGTACCTTTAATAGTTAATACGTTAGCTATTCAATTTGTTCTGTAATAATTAGTTAACTAGGATTAGTTAATTAATTTGTTTTGTAATAATTAGTTTAATTAGCTTAAATTAGCTAGTTAGCTTCTTATTCGGTCCCTCCCTCGAGAGGGTACATTGTTGTAATAAGTGTGCGCGTGTGTGATACATGTCTTCCAATCTCCATTTCTTTCTCCCTTTTACTTAACCGCTTATGATGGTTAGTTTTAGGGCATATTTCATTTAGCATACTTTATGCTTGCATGCGTGCATCCATTCATCTGTATTGCATGCACCGGGCGCAGCGCATCATACTAACTGCATTGTACTTTCAATACATTACTTAAATACGTGTTTAACAGCATGTTATCAAGTTGCGTTTCACATGACATTCTAGATAGCCGAGCTTATCTTAATTGCATTTTTGCATGTGTTGCATTAGCCATTTTAACATGAACTAGGGTCATCCATTGATTTCTAACTAGTTCTTTGTTTTGGCTCAGAGTACACTGTGAGTGTTTACGCTTTAGCATACTGCATGTGTGTTAATATTGCCATGTTAGCATGCTTGCCATGAGGCTAACTGCTTATGTGATTAACTGCCTGAATGCCTGTGGGTGAAGGTTGGATTACTTGAATTGAGACAATTCATTGAAATCCGCATTTTAGCCTACTTACGAGTAGCAAACTTCAAACCATTTTCCAAACAAACGCATATGCGATGCTTCGTTCCAAATTATGCGATCTAGTCTATACTTGTTTGCTGTGCGCATCACGTAGTAAGACTAGCTAATTAATCAGAATAAGAGCACATGTGTTTTCAAAAACAAGATATCATACTTAGTACAGGCCGATCTTTGATCAGGCAAGCAAAGGTGCTCATTAAATGACCTTCCCCAATCGTACGGAAGTTCCCGAGCAAAGGCAACTTTGGTGATGACGGACACATGGCCTTAGCCACGAGTCAGAATTTCCTAAATTCCCCCAAAACAAAATATTTAGGTAGCGACTCTGTATCTAGCAAAGCAGTCCATGTTTAGCACTTCTTTATAAAAATCAGTTTTCTTAAATGATTTGTCGGATTTGGACTATTTGGTGATTTATCGGTCTCACATTGCACATTGTGAGATTAGATTCAGAACCGTGACATTTGAGACCGAACTGTGGTAAGCCCAAATGAACGATACGGGGTTCTTCCCGGGGCGTTCAGGGCGCGTCCACAAGGACTATCAGTCCATTTTTGTTGTAACAAGGTAACGCCTTGAACTTTTGTAAGCCATTAAGGCCATTTATTTTGTTTTGTCCTCTAACTTGCTGAACTTGGTTATAGACATGAATTGTAATTAATATGCTTAGTTCAATGAAAAAGAGAAATTTCTAATATTTAATTATACTTCAATTGTAATTAATATGTTTTGTTCAATGAGAAAGAGGACCTTCTGGTATTTAATTATATTTCAACTGACGTCTTTACTTTAAATATTTTTGGGGGTGTTTCATTGCTGATGGGCTTGGATCCACTTTGGGGTTTATATTGCCTTTTCCTTGGGTTTTGTTGTCTCCGGGAACTCTATTTTCCTTGGTATGTTAGCAGAATTATTCCTCTGTTTGTAGGTCAGGCCCGTGAGAGGCCACGACCAGGCCGCGACGAAACACCCCTTTCAGGTCCATGTGTGGGGCGAAGGTGCGTGGCCCGCGAGGGTTCCCTCGATTTGTAATCGCACCCGCGATAGTTGATCTTCGCGCCACGATGTGTCTGTCTATATATACCTCCAAAAGCTGAAAATATTATTTTCTTGTGCTCATCTTCTCCATTTCTATCTACAATCGCCATTTTCGTAACTTTTGAGCTTTACCCTTGGTTTTCATCTAGTTATACCTATCTCCTTCCCCTAGTGTTTTGGGCTTTAATGTAGAGCAAGTTGGGGACTACGTTTTAATCTAAAAATTTCAAGTTTCGGCATTGTTGGTTTTCGAGTGTTCTTCAGCTGCTCCTTAAGCTTTGAGGTAATGATTTCTTTAATGAATTGTATGTTGTTTACCCTCATTATGTGTTAGTTGAGTAGATTAACACTTTGGGAGTTTTGATTTTGATTGAAGTATGTTTGAAGGCACCAAAGAAAGGTTTTCTCAAAGTTTTTCGTAAAGGCTCTATTTGGCTATGGATAAAGAGTGGTATTGTTGGAGGTTGGAAAAGAGTGGTTTGACATGGAAAATCTCTAATTTGTTTTATTGAAATCAATGAGTTGCTTTGTTGGAAAAGATTTATTTTGTTGGAAAATTGTTGAGTTGTGGAGCATGCTAGACTCACAATGGAACAGTGGAAAATATGACATTTTGTTGATATGTTGAGAATGATGAGTTATGCTACTGTTATCTATATTGTCCATTTTGGAATATATTGAATAAAGATAACTACTTTGGCTATCAGTGGAAGATAGTATTGCTTGTAGAAATTGCATGAGAACTAGAGGCCAATTGAAACCAATATGCTCATGCATTACACTTATTCAAATTTTTCATACTCATGCATTGAAGATGGTTATTTCGAGAAAAAAAATTGGTGAATACCTAGGTGAATCTGGTTAAGGGGTGTGGGTTGTGGCATTTATGTTGGCCATTGTGTCATTGGTGAAAGTCTAGAAACCCAAGCAATAAGGTGTCAAATTCTTCCAGATAATATCGGTAAAACGGCTATTGGTAGTGTTTGTATAGCCTACTTGTAGACACGTACCTAGATATTCCGAGTGTGTATATTTAACGCCCTATTTTCTATTTTGAAGGAATGGTTTTAAATACATATAACTTGTGATTCAACCATTAGCATTGCATTGGCTTTGAAATGCGAAGACGCATGGTTTTAATAATGGCATTCCATATGTATCAATCATAAGGCTAGGTTAAGTATCATACAAATTGTTAAATTTATCTCTAGTGGACATTAGGTCACCCTATGTGGAAAAACATTTCAAATGCTAACAGTTTGCCTTCGCCAAGAGAATAGCTTGGGAGAACGTTGAGGCATAAGGTTCATTTTGTGATGTCATTTTGTTTAAGCCTTGGGCTTTTATGTATTGAGCTTAAGTCTCACTTTTGTTGTAACCAAGTATAAGCTTGGAAACTTGTACACACTAGACATCAACTTGTAATAGTTTAGATATTAATGCTTAACGCTCACATGCTATAGATTCAGGGTTTGTTATCGATGAATGTATTAAGCATGTGAACCAGTTTTGTAGTAGTATAACGTCGTAAAGTGTACGGAGATCACAATATATATATATATATATGATCTTGACTTACTTCCGCTTGTTGAATGGGATAATTTTTACATTATAGATAGTCCGAATGTCAATAATTTCGGGACGTTACAATTTTTAAATTTTTGTAAATATATACAAAAAATAAAAACAAAAACATTACCATACATACCTTGAAGAGTATAAACCGTAATAAATCACATACTTTGAGAAACAATAGTTGAATGGAAAGGCTCGTGTGTGAGAGTCTTTCCATTCAACCGCTATCCTTGATTTCTTTGATTGTCACACAAATTGAATGCACATCATCTGTTCCAAAGTGGCATATTCCAAAGTGGCATATGCCAAAACAACTATGTTGGTTGCCAACAAAGCTTATTTCACAAATATATCTGGACATAAACACCCAACAACACGTTTTTATTGATAAGATAGTTCAGCATAAACGAAATACAAACTGCGAAATAGATGGTCTGCTAGAGTACATACTACCAAGATAAGCTTAGATCAACCTACTTATTATTCATCACAACCAAAGAGCATTTAAGCTAGGATAAAGATAAACCTATAGTTATTATAGATGTAAACCATGCATATGTAGATTGCTCATCATCTTCACCTTACAATTGCGCCTTTATATTTTAGTGCAGCCTCTCTACTGTTAATGGTTCCTGTGTAATTCTCTTCCTTTTGAAATGGCCTAGATGATTGATTCAATTTTCTGTATCTCCTTTCAGCTTCCCTGCTGTCAATGGTTTCCGTGTAAGTATCACTTTTCGGAGTAGTTGAGACTGGTACGGTCATCCGTGGCTGTGGTGTAGGTATAGGTTGTGCAGTACCAGTTACAGACAAAGGCTTCACAGCTTCCCTAAGGATCTCCACAGCTTTACCAATGTCATTTGTTGGCCCCGAAAGCCAGGTGCCATTACGACTAGGCCTTTCCCTAGCATCTCTATTGGCTATAAATGGATCTGCCAAACTCTCATCTCGAATAGTATTAACATTAGGCTTGTTCCAGTCATCGTTGTCATTGTAGTTAGTGTAATCATCATAGCCAATGTTGCAAACTTGGCCTATTTTTGAATTAGGATTGTTATTGCGCCAATTTGGGGCACTCAGGAGGCCTGATCTCGTTGGTCGACCTACTTCAGTTTGAATGCTCGTGATGAACTCCTCAACCTTTTGTGGGCGATCTTGAACCAGACTCGAAGGCCTATGCCATTTGTCATTGGTGACTCTATAGTCCATGGGTTCAACTTCTTTTGGAGAGTTATATCCGTATTCATGGACTGGACTTGAAGGCCTACGCCATTTGTCGTTGGTGACTCCATAATCCTTCCTAGGCTCAACTTTATTCGGAGAGCTATACCCATATTCGTGGACCGGACTTGAACGCCTCTGCCATTTGTCGTTTGTAACTCCATAATCCTTTATAGGCTCAATCTTAGTCGGAGAGTGATACCCATATTCATGGACAGGACTTGAAGGCCTTTGCCATTTGTCGTTCGTGACTCCATAATTGTTCAGTGGCTCTACCTTTGTTGGAGAGTTGTACCCGTATTTAGTGACCATAACTTGAGGATGATCATGAGTCGGACTTGAAGGCCTACGCCATTTGTCGTTGCTGACTCCGTAATAATCCTTCACAGGCTGAACTTTTGTTGGAGAGCTATCCCGAAGCCCAACTTGTGGTCGATCATGGACTGGAGTCGAAGGCCAACGCCATTTGTCGTTGGTGACTCCATAATTGTTTCGTGGCTCTACTTCTGTAGGAGAGATGTACCCATATTCAGTGACCATGACTTGGGGGCGATCAAGAACTGGACTTGAAGGCCTGCGCCATTTGTTGGTGGTAGTCACTCCATAATCCTCGAATGGCTCAACTTTTGTAGCTGTAGTGCTGTATTGGTACTCAGTAGTGACCACAACAGGTGTATGCTCAACAATTGTCTCTGTACTTGTGACATAGCTTTCTGAGTCATGGTGGTTAGGAGTGTAAGAAATTATAGGCCTTTTCCCACCCTCGGTGTAGCCTCTATTCATGTAATTATACCCAGCCATTGCACGATATAGGAACTTCTTTCCTGTTAGAGAAGCTCTTTTATGATTTACTACTTGGTTATCTATGGAGATTGCAACGTCTCCTTATATAGAAAAAGCTTTGTTCTTCTTGCTTCAACAATCTGGTACAAGGAGGATCGAATTTTTCATTTTTCTTATCTTCTTTTACTTTTCTTTTTCCAAATGCACATTGAAATTCCAGAATCAAATTCTGCTCATATATGGGATGAACCTCCACTAACGGTTCATAGCTATTCAAAATTTTGTACAAAGGAGTGATCTCTATATTGCAATTGCAGTATTGGTGAGACAATTCACTTCATAAAACAAATTCTTGAGGCATTGCATAAAATAAAATAAAATAAAGTACAAAAAAAAAGAGGCAAATTATGACGGTAGTTTTTTTATTTTGGTTTTTATGTCATTTTGATTCCTGTTTCAATTTGCTTGGTTTTGACTTTAAATTTAAAATTTTGTTTCAATTTAGTCCAATTACTTATAACTGTGGGCATTTTTATGAAAAATTACTCAACTTAGTGAGTTAACTTTAACCAATTTGGTGATAATTTTTTATCAAAAACACTAACGGCATTATAAATTAGACCAAATTGACACAAAATCTACAATTAAGAGTCAAAGTTGAGGTAATTGAAAGTATAAGGATCAAAATAACACAATAAGTAAACTTATAAGGACCACCAGTATAATTTGTCCTAAAAAAAAAGTATGTTAGTAAAATAGAAACTAGGTACAAGTTATTTATTTATTTTTTAATTTTTTTATGAGCACCCAAATAAAGTCTGGAGGACTTGCGTGTAGCTTATACTAAGTGAACTTATTATCTAATAGATTTTGTAATAATTAACGACATTTTTCATAAAATACTATTAGAAAAAGTCATTAATTGTTAATTTTCTGCGACAATTTGAATAATTTGTCACAAAAAGTCATTAATTATAAGTTTTAGCGACAATTTTAAAAAATTGTCACAAAAAAATGTCACTAGTTTTTAGTTTTTAGCGACAATTTAAAAAATTCATCACAAAAAAAATCACTAATTATAAGTTTTAGTGACAATTTGTAAAAATTATGACAAAAAATTCACTAATTATTAATTTTTAGTAACATATACAAAAAAAATCATTTCAAAAATTTATTTTTAACAACGATTTTATTATAACTAACTTTCAATAAGATTTAATAAGAATTAAATCTAACTATTAAAATCTATTGATAGTTTGCTCTAAAGTCAACTTGCATATGCATACACTAATAACTAACTCGACAATGCTACGTAACTCAAATTTTGTGGCTCAAAAGTGGCTCAAATGGCCAAAACGACGTCGTTTTGAGTGCAGAACAACATAAAAATGGCCAAAACGACGTCGTTTTGGCCATTTAAGTCACTTTTGAGCAGCAAAATTTGAGCTACGAGACATTTTCCTAACTAATATTATACACTAAAATTGGCTACTCTTGTTCAGTTGGCCGCTTGATTCGTCCCAAAAAAAAAAAAAACAACTTGAGTTACTTGAAAAAAGCTAAAAATATGACAAATGAATTAGTTCTTTTAAGCATTAGTTTACTTATGTGCCTACTTTAAGCTAATGAACTAGCTTATAATTTGAGTACCAAAGAGGCCTTGTGAAGTGGCACATTCGGAATATTTTTTCGTTTTCATGGCAATCTTTTTGGTGTGGAAAGAATAGACGTTAAGTTACAAAAATGTAAATTATCTACAATTTTTTTTTTTAATTTGCTAATACCCAAATAAAATCTGGCGACAATTTAAAAAATCGTCAAAAAAAAAAAATCACTAATTATGAATCAGTGACACAATTGAATTTTTTGTCATTCTCATAGCAATCTTTTTGGTGCAAGTTTTCTTTGTATTTAGTACAAGTCTTTCCTATATTGATTATAAACATGCTCCCAAAAAAAATTTCTTGTCTAATGCAATTATTTTACCACTGTTTCATGTTTTTGCAATTGTCCTTGATTTATTTACATATTAAGATATGACAAATCATTACAAGAATCCAACAAAATAAAAATTCGGTGTTGCTAATGATAGTAGAAAAATTCAAATATACCGAAGAAAAACAATCTAAAATTACATATCAAATAAAAATTAAACCAAATGCACAAAGTATCACTTAAACAATAATATTTTGGTAATTTTTAGTTACAAAACTATTAATTAAATTTGAATAATCTAACTTATTTATTGAGAGGGTAATTTTTGGGAAAAATTGGGCCGAGCTGCGAGTTGGGCATTGAGGCCCAAAACGCGAAGGACTAAGTAAGAAGGCCGCAATAGATACTCCGGCCCAGAAGGGCAAAGTTACTCCGGCCTTGGGAAGACAAAGTTACTTCGGCCCAATGAGGTGAAATTACTTCGGCTCACGAAGGGTAGAGCTACTTCGGTTAGAAGATTGTAAATGAACTTCGGTCTGGGAGCAACTTGAAGTTATACCGGCCTTAGAGGCATACCGGTTTGAGAGTTATACCGGTCGAGTCGTTGGTTCGGTCCGAACACACCACGGTTCATGTATGAGAGAACCGAGATATGGTGTAGCATGAAGAAGAACCGAACAACTGTTAGTACGGCCTACTTTGTGGCTCGGCATAGCCATTTTTACTTCGGTCAAATGGAAGTTCGGCCATAAAGAGAACCATCCCACTTGGTTTAAGCAGTGGGGGAGGGTGTGAAAGGATAAGCATTATCCTTAAGAGTATGAATCCTAGGAGGACTCTGCATGGAGAAATACAAGTCCTACTAGGATTGTGCCATATGAAACTTATAAAAGCTCAAAAGCATCACCTTGGAGGAGGTAATTGAACAAAATCTTTCTGAGAACTTTGAGCTTTGTCTATTTGTCAAGCTTACTGACTTAGGCATCGGAGAGGAAAAGGGACGAAGCCTTCATTGTCCCAGGGAGTAGCATCTTTCTTGGCCAACACCAGTTGGACATCATCAGGAATCTGGTAATCTTGCCTAAATTCGGCCATGCCACCAGGGGTTTCGACTAAATATCTATACTTACCCATTTGTTGTATAATTTATGAATAAATTATTTCGGTACAAAAACTAGGCTCAGTAGCTCGGTTGAGAACAC